TTGCACTATCGAGTAGGCAATTTTCTCTTTTGTCGATGTTCTCCATGTTTGCCTGAATTAAATAACATAAAATTAATATTGAACCGTAGTATAGTTTGCAAATGATATAATAACAAACTCATAATTTTATACATAGTCAAAATATCAGCTCGACCTCGGGAACATAACTTCCAAGGGAGATATGTACATGGATACATCAAAAGACAAACTAGCTCAATCTCGGGTACTACATCATCCGAGAGAGATATATACAAAGTGTACATAGTGAGTACAAAATAACCAAAAGAGATGCTCATTTGGCAATTTACACAAGAGGATCAAGATCTGTAAAGAAATCTGATAACTCAAGAGAGGCTCCATCTTGAGCAGGATCATGATCAAGCATGCTCTCAGATGTGTTGGCTTCAAGAACAGCAAGTGGCATTTCTGCCTCAGTGACATTTGCCTGGACATTTTTTTCTTTGTCTCTTTTTGAATCCTGGTACAGATTTACCAGATGTTGGGCGGTTCTACAAACTTTGGCCCAGTGTCCAGTCATTTCACATCTAATACACATATTTTCTGGAATTCTTTCCGCGGGCATTTTGCCTTTATCGCGTTTTGCCTGAAATGGTTGTCTCTGCCAGACCGTATTATTATTATTTCGACGGGGATATTCATATCCACCACGGTCATTATTTCGGGCATCTTGAGGGGGACCACGTCCACCACCTCTGCGTGCACCACGCCAGAATCTACGCATACGGCCTCTAAATCGGCTCATATTTCTGTTTTGATTAGCATGTGCTTCAGGCACAGCTTGAGACCCACATGGTCGCAAATCATGATTTTTCAACAGCAATTCATTTGTTTTTTCTGCTGTGAGGAGTACAGAGATCAACTCCGAATATGTTTTAAACTGGGGCTGCCTGTATTGCTGTTAGAGCACCATGTTCGAGGCATGCATAGTGCAAAAAGTTTTTTCCAATTTATCATATTCAGATATTTTAACTCCACACAAGGCTAATCGGGACTCAAGTTTAAACAGTGCCGAATTATAGTCGGCAACAGATTTGAAGTCCTGCAGCCTTAGGTGCTGCCAATTGTATTGGGCCTGTGGGAGAATCACAGTTTTTGTGTGATCAAACCTTTCTTTGAGTTTTTGCCATATCTCTGATGGCCTTTCAAGTTGTATATATTCGTCTTTCAAATCCTCAGAAAGATGATGGCGGATAAAAATCATAGCATTTGCCTCATCTTTCCTGTTTGCCTCCTTGATATCTACACAATCCAAGGCTTTTACAAGATCTAGCCCTTGGAGGTGTAATTTGATATCTAAGCACCAGGATAAAAAGTTACTGCCGGTAACATTAAGGATTTGAAATTTTTGTTTTTCGATTCCGGCCATCGTAAAATAAAATAAGTAGAAAATAGTACAACAAAAGGAAATTAACCTTTTTACAAACCTATAATTTTGTAGAGCAAAAGCTCGTGCTGATAACGTGTTGTAGAATATAAAATATTACACAAAGTATATGTATATATATATAGAGAGAGAGAGAGTAAATAGCTAGGCTTTATGATTTATAAGAACATATAGTTCTTGGACAATACACATAAACGTGTATATTAAAATCGAAAGCCATTGCTATTATAAGAGATAAACTAAAATTAAAGAGGTGATAAGCAATTGAAACTCAAACTCAAAACTTCTGTAAGTAGAAAATTTGTTTGCTGAAGAGGAATTAATTCTTCATCTCATAAGTTTACACCTATTTATACAAGTAGTCACCCATTTTACATAGGACTGACTTGGTTAGTCATCACTTCAAATTAATACACCTATTAATATAATAATATACATTTCATGCACTTGAAGATCACGTTAAGGGCTCTTGTGCATGTGTATAGAATTGTTTCTATTGGTTGAGTCCACGTGTCACAACAATTCCTAAATAATCACTTTTTACCTTTGTCAAGTATGAAGATACTCGATAAATGTGACTTGATTTTAATAAAATTATATAAATATAATTAAAATGACAATTGTTATTTAATAATTTATCCGAAACAGTTAACATTTATGGTTGAATTTAATAACGTGAAAATATAAAAATATATATTTAGAGAGTGTTTGGTTTAAGTTTATAAGCTGTTAGAAAGAGCTTATAATATGTTAAGAACGTATAAGGTCTTTCAAAGTGTTTTTTAAAGTTTTTAAAAAAATCTAAAGAAAATCAAAAAAATAAGATGGGGGAGAAGTTTTAAGATATGTTTTTAGTCAACGGCCAGCTACCTCTCTCAATTATGTATTTTTTAATGTTTGAGTAATTATAACCACCTTCCTCAACTATGTATTTTCTTACACAAAAACCCTATTTTACTCTGTAAATTTGACATCATAAGGGTGGACATGTATAACAATAAATAATTGAGAGGTGGTTGTAATTACCCAAACATAAGTGATTTTTTTGTAACTTAACCTTACCTCAGCGGGTGGCCGTAATTTGTCCTATGTTTTAACAAGTACCTCTACAACTCTACCCCACCTTTTATTTAAAATCTTATATTGAGTAAAAATAACTTATAAACTCGGTACCCAAACATATTAAAATTTAGGGGCTCTTTGACATAAACCCCTCAAACATTTCATTAATAGAAAAATGCCAAAATCATAATGCACTATTTCAAATAAACTCATCATCCGTTCAAAGAGAAAAGTGTAAAAGGTCAAGGTGGGAGACAGACCGGAAACATGTAGGGGCCATGAAAAGTTCACAGAGGTTGCCGCGGAGGGTGACGGCGGAGCGGGTGGCGCACTCCAGGGCATACACTTGTTGTCGACGAGGGCGGCGGAGTTGCGGCAGCGGACGACGAGCACGATGACAATTTTTTTTTTCGCATAGTCGATTAATAAATCAACTATGTCTTTTTATAGTCGATTTATTATTTTTAAGTCTAATTTATGCTTTAATATTTTAATCAACTCTAGTTGATTAGCGTCCAATTTAATCCAAATTTCAAGAATACATAAGGTAAATTGAAAAATCGCGAAAAAACATAATGAGGGGTTTCTTCAAATTACTTTTTTTGAGGTGGATCTACCTCACATGATTTTTCCAAATGAGGGCGGTCTTACAAATGAGGGCGGTCTTACTAATTTTCTTTAAAAGGTAATTCTAAAATAAGACGTAACAGCTTATCAGCTCTTAAAACAACTTTCCAAACATAAGATTTTACCAACTCTTAAAACGGATTATCAAACATAAGAGCTTATCAGCTCTTCAAACTAAGTTTAGTCCAACGAGCTCTTAGCTAACTATTGAAAATATAAAATCGAAAGATAATATGAAACGAAAATATTTTACAGAAGAAACAATTATTTGGAACAAAGAGTATTAAGTAAAAAATAATAAATTCTTACAAAAAAAGTAAAATAATAAAGGTTGGGAAAGTTGAGTAAAGCGCGCGGGATATCCTCAACTAACAAAAAAGCTGTATTATAGCTATTGCCACCTCCATTGCAGCTGTCACAGACCAAACGTTTTAGACTTTAGTCGATGAAATTTGTTTCTTTCCTTATTATTCCATCAATAATAGTAAAATGGACAAAACTAACTTAATGTAACAATCTATTTTTCAAACGTAACGACAACTGGTTCGGTCATTTTCATTTTTGCCTTATTTAATGAAACTCTCCAATCCGGAAAGTTGCAATGTTCTTCTTGTAATACAGTAAAACGTCGATAAATTAATAATATTACTTAAATAATTGTGTCGTTCATTCTTGGCTAGGTAAAAATCTACTGAATTATTAATTTGATAATTTAATTTTCTAACTTAATAGAATTTTGGCTAGTCTAGATTATATTAATTTATAAAAGTTTAAGTGTATTAAGATTATTGAAAAATGGAAAAAAATATCTATTTTAAAATATTAGTGTGAACATGTCTTACTCTCTTAGCCCAAAAAACATAAAGTCCTACCAAAAATCCAAGACTATTTACTTTCATTTCACACCAACTGGTCTTTTAAAATTTCGATTGATAAATATTTAATTTTAATAAAAAAAATATATATATAGTATGACTTAAGTGTGTTTTCAACTAATTATCTTGTATTAATTAGTTTGTTTGTGTGATTTAATTTTCTAAATAACCAATGAGTAGTAAGAAAAAAATTTCAGAAAAAAAAAAACCCCCAATTAAATTTAGTTATTAAATGACAAATAAATGAACTTAACTTTTTTCAAAGTGACAATTATTAGTTTCAAAATAGAGGAAATATGATAAATTTGAACTTTTCGTAATCTTGACTTATTAAAAGAAAAGGGAATTACGGTCATCCTGATGTAAGGTTAATTTATGAAAAAATCTCGCTTGTTAGGTAAATTACAAACCACCTCCTCAATTATGAATTTTCTTACACGTCCACCATTGCAGTGTCAAATTTAGTTGATTATTCTAGATTATATGGAATATTCTCTTCTTTGTACCCGTTTTACCCTATTCGAGCTTCATATTTTGAAACAAGATGATCATAAGATGTGTCTATTGATTTGTAAATATCAAATTGTGATGCATCAAAAATTACATTTTCGCACAAAACCAAGTACAAACTAGAGAAAATTTCATGGAATCTAGAAGATTCTGTTGAATTTGACACCATAAGAACGGAGGTGTAAGAACCATTCATAGTTGAATTGAGGGGCTGGTTGTAATTACCCAAACATAAGAGGGTATTTTTTTCGTAATTTGATCTCATCTCACAGAGATTGATGTAATTTACCCAAACATAAGAGGATATTTTTTTCGTAATTTGATCTCATCTCAGGTGGATTGATGTAATTTACCCAAATATAAAAGAGTATTTTTTTTGTAATTTGATCACACATCAGGGAGATTGATATAATATAACCAAAAAAGGAAAAAAAGAATTAAAAAACCGATAAATTGCTTTTCAAAATTACAGTTATTAGATGAGAGTGGGAAACCGTTCACATTCAAAGTCCCACTGCAAAAACCCCTCATCACTTTCTTAAGATTTTCACACACTGAAACACACAATCAAAACACGCACAAAAAATGCACGCAAAGACGGACTCCGATTTGACAAGCTTCTCGCCGCCGTCGCCGGACCACAGCCGGCGGCCCGTTTACTACGTCCAGAGCCCGTCACGCGATTCGCACGACGGCGAGAAGTCGACGCCGGTGCTGGGCAGTCCGATGGGATCGCCGCCGCACTCCCAATCGTCCGTCGGCCGCCACTCCAGGGAGTCCTCCACCAGCCGCTTCTCCGGCTCTCTCAAGCCCGGATCGAGGAAGATTTCGCCTAACGACCTCGGATCGGGCGGCGGAAGGGGTCACCGGAAAGGCGGAGGACAGAAGAATTGGAATGAGTTCGATGTGATTGAAGAGGAACGTCTTCTCGGAGACGACGAGTCGAGGAAACGGCTGCCCCGCCGGTGCTATTTTCTGATCTTCGTCGGCGGTTTCTTCGTGCTCTTCTCGTTGTTCGCTTTGATTTTGTTGGCCGCCAGTAAACCTCAGAAACCCGCAATTTTGATGAGGGTGAGTTTTTTTTTAATTATTAATCCTATTTTTATTTAATAAATTAATTAATTATATTAATTTGTTTTGCTTAGAATGAGGCAATTTTGGTGTCGATAATTTGGGGAAAAGTTCAATTTTATTGAATTTTTGGTGCTTGTGTTAAGTACAATGTTTGATAAAGTTAGTTTAGATGTTTATTGAATGTGGATTATGCCGTTAATGCTTGCTGGTTGATTACGATGTTTATCGGTTTGATTTGTTCGTTGTTTCGTGTTTGTAGTTCGAGCTAGAAAGCCCTGTTTCTTGATCGAAATGTTTGATTAAATTTGTGTCTAATTCAATGGGTGGATCGATTAATCGATTTTCCATGTTCATGTGAAATGCCCTGAAATAAGGTTGTATTAATTTTTATTAATTGTTTTTTTGGCAGTCGATTAAATTCGAGAGATTTGCGATTCAAGCTGGTTCAGATCACACCGGAGTTTCGACCGATATGTTGTCGACAAACGCCACAGTCAACTTCACTTTCACAAATACTGCTACTTTTTTCGGTCTTCACGTTTCATCTACCCCTTTAGCTCTCTTCTACTCGCAACTCACCATTGCCTCTGGCGACGTAATTATCCCTATTTGCTTCGAATAATTATGTCTTTAAAAAAAATAATAAAATGGGCCTATGCCGTTTTTCGCTATGCTTATTTTACTTTCTTTTCTTTTTTTTTTTTTTTTGCAGGTGAAAAATTTTTACGAATCAAGAAAACACTCGACGAACGTAAGTGTAGTAGTGGTTGGTGATAAGATTCCGATGTACGGAAGCGGAGCTACTTTAAGCACTCATTTGGGGCTGACAACTTTGCCGGTGCCGTTGAAGTTGGAATTTACGGTTCGATCGAGAGCTTACGTTTTGGGGAAATTGGTGAAGCCTAAATTCTACAAGAAGGTTAACTGCTCAATTGTTTTTGAGTCCAAGAAATTGAATATTCCAATATCCCTCAAGAAATCATGCACATATGACACATGAGAGAGCACTGCTTGTATAAAAAATTGTGTCTTTATTTTATATATTTGTATTTAAGAAAGATGGCGATGATAGATATATATAGTTATGGACATATTTTGATGGAGAGAGAAAAATACAGGGTGGGATTTGATGAACTTTGAACAATTAATTTTGATATATTTAATAATACACACTATTTTTTAGACAGGACCCAACGGGTAGGATTAAATTGTCATTCATTCCTACTAGTATGTTTCCATGATGAAAATAAGTGGTAATTAACGGATAATCTTATGTATTAAATTAATAAACGCTATGGCACTAAGAAAATCCTGATGGTAATTTTATATTTTTTTAAAATAATATTTTTTTTAATCTCCAATTTTGACTCCCTTAATGTCTCCATTGGAGAACAAATTTTGAGTTAGGTATCAAAATGATAGTTTTAGCATTTAGTATTCCATTTAATTCCCCCGTTGGAGTTGCTCTAATAAATTAAAAAAAGTCACTAGCACGTAGTAAATGATGAATTAGAATTACATATGGAACTTCCGGGCATTACCCTCGAAATAGATTTTTGAGAAATATGCACACAGAATAACATAAATATGTAGTAGGATCATTGAAATTACGAGCGCGTTTAGTGTTTATTACAAAATCAATACATCCTAAATGTGTAAAAAGTAAAGAAATGTGAATCGCTTTTTAAACAAATCACATATTTTGTTATTTCTAAACAAGTCTTGTTTGAAAAATTCTTAATTTCAGATTTTAGGGATATAGAAAAATAGGGTTTTTGAGTAAATTTGAATAGAATTCCTACAAGTTGTAAATATACAATGTGCACTTGCACACAAGTGACGACCCGCCACAGGACAAACACAGTTGGTAATGTAAATTCTTAACCATAGGAGTAGAAACTGAAAATTGTATTTATAATATAATATTTGATATGGACGAAATCGCCCTCATGAGCTTTCTAACCCTTTATCGGGCCATGGATCGGGTTGTCACTTTTATTGGGCCAATGTATGATCCAAGTTGTAGTAATCCGAGTTGCATTCGTCCTTATTGGCCTCAGAATTGAGATCGAGCTGAGCACATCTTTGTTGGGCTCGGGTACTGAACCGAGTCGGGACCCATATACTCGGCCCAACGTCTTAGTAAGCTCAAGAAGAGGAATTATGGCAACTCTGCTTATTTCTTGTCCACCAAGTATCCTCCCTTATAAAGGGAGTCACTCAAAACTGTTTCTTTTATAAGCTCTTACATATTTTAATTTTTGCACTTTGTTGTTTTGAAAGCACTAATGAATATAAATTGTTTGATGTTACATTTGACATCATCAAAAAATACCACTAAAGATATTAAATTACATTCATTATTTAAAAAAAAAAATCATTTGGGGATCATTGTGCATGATTTATTGTGTTTTGATGGTGCAAAGTGCTATTAATATTTTTCGAGGGTGCGAAGTGCCAAAATACTACATTTCAATGGTGCAAAGAGGGATCAATCATCTATGTCAACATAAGTTTGTTATTTTGTTTTTATTCCCCTATTTAAAATTTAGTCCTTTAATATATCGATTCTTCCCCTATTTTAAGACCAAGCCTTTTAATTCATTTCGCCCATTTAATAAATAAAACTAAAATCTCGCAGTTCGTCCAGAACCGTTGAACCGACGCACAAGAAATATGTAAAATATCATAAGAGAAACGGTGTAGACACAATCCAACACTCAAGTTAGAGTTCTAGGTTTGTAATTACTGTTGAGTGACAATTTTGTAATTATTTGATGAGTGACAATTCTGAAATTACTTGGCGAGTACCGGTTCTTTATTTATTGGTAAATCGTATGTTAGTGTATGATATGTATATCCATATACATTACCAAATATGAAAATATTTTTTTTTGCTTTGATATTATTTTAATTACTAAAAGCATAAAAAATTCTATTGTCCACTTAACAGATCCGATTCTTTGCTCCCCTGCCTCCCCTGAATTGCAATCAAAAAATTTGAGAAATTCAGCCGTACATTTTCATTGGTTTAATTTCACGTCACACACTCGAAATATACTATTTTGACATTTTGCACCCTTAAAACATATTTAATCATTCAAAGTGTACCCTATTCTATTTTCTGAACATAATTTATGTCGTTTATAGTTTACTTATTTTCTTATCGTCAACATGGTCATTTTTATCTAACAAATTGATTTTTTCTTTATGGTGCAAATTATTAATGTATTTTCGATGAAAAATAATGAGTATTTTCTGAGCAAATTGCTATTGTCGTCGTTACTTATCATGCATTTTTCTAGCATAGGACCGCTAAATGGTGAGTTTTTAGGGAGTATTTTGCTACAAAATTTGCATCATATGGTGTTTTCTGCTAATATTTATAACACGAAGAGTATTTTTTAACAACTAGAGTACATAGCGGTGGTAAATGCAATACACCCATAATTAATTGTATATTGTAGGTCTTGTAGATGTGTCCTAAACATCTAAAAATTAAATACAAAAAAAAAAAGCCCCTATCATGTGTTATACCGAATTGCTTAAACAATCCTTGTGTTATAAATATTAGCAAAATTCCCACTATGGTGCATTTTACTTGGTTCCCGACCCCCTAAATGGTGAGTTTTTAGGGAGCATTTTTGAAACACGTTGTTATATTTTACAAAAGTGTTTTTAACTCTCTTACTTTCAAACTAAATTTTAGTTATTACTTAGTGGCCTAAGTGTTATGACTTAGTGGGCTAAGTAGTGATTAGTGGGTTTAATTGTGGGTTTTATTCTAACTTTCTAACTAACCCACTAACCCATTATCTTGAGTGCTCTTGTGGTTGGTTTTCTTGCAGATCATGGGCTGAGGAGTGGAAGCTTGGCAAGTCTATAAATACCAAACTCAAGACTCAAGATTCATACAGATTTCGAGGAAACAAAATAGAGCTGAAGTTTTAATCTCGAGAATTTTAGTGTGTTTTCTAGGATCTGTTGTACGTACTCCTTATGAGTACATTCTTTGAAATCTAGAATTTTTAATATTTTTCTTTTAGTATCTAGATTTGATTGTAAGAATGGTCTTGAAAAAGATTCATTCATAAGGAAGAAGTTTTCGCACCTCTTCTATTTGTATTCTTAGAATACTGTTTTTAATATATTTTTCCGTCCTGTAAAGGGCAAGTTCACAAGTCTTTACTTGTGGACATTTTTACTTCTGAGTGTTTGTTTTTTAATCTTTATATTTCCGCTGCATGTTGTCTCAAGTGTCATAACATTTTAGATAACATCTCTGTATAATACGAATTCGGGACCATAAATTCTTTCAATTGGCATCAAGAGCCAACACTTGACGTATACTAAGTGTTTGTTCCTATTTTTCTTTACTGAAACGAATTCGTGATGGATACTCAGATGACTGCTTCTATGCGACCTCCTGTACTTGATGGCACGAACTACACCTACTGGAAAGTCAAGATGAGGGCGTACATCAAAGCCATTGATGAGAGAGCATGGAGATCTATTCTCACTGGATGGAAACCACCAACTATCACAGATGTGGACGGAGATGTTTTTCCAACTCCAGAATTACGGTGGACACCAGACGATCTATCAAATGCTAACCAAAACTCAAAGGCGTTAAATGCAATTTTCAATTCAGTAGATTTAACAATGTTTAAATTAATCTCTGTACGCACTTCTGCGAAGGATGCTTGGGAAGTTCTTCAGCTACATTGTGAGGGATCAGATAGTGTCAGAAGAACCAAGCTCAGATTACTCTCTTCCAAATTTGAGAGACTGAGAATGGAGGAAACTGAAACAATTTCTCAGTACAATAAGAAGTTGATTGATTTGGCTAATGAATTTCAATCCTTAGGTGGTCCTTTGAGCAACGAGACACTAGTGAATAAGGTATTGAGAACTCTTCCAGAAAGGTTCAGCATGACGGTTACTGCTATTGAGGAGGCTAAAGATACATCATCTCTACGGCTGGACGAATTAATTGGAAGTCTCAAGTCCAGAGAGATGAACTTCGAAGATCAAAGAAAGGAGAAAGGAAAGGCTATCTCAAATGCACTCCAGGCAGAATTAGAGAAGGAAGATGTTGCTCCGGAATATGATGATGATGCAGAAGAATGCCTCAACAATGTGGCATTTCAAATTCAGAAATTCAATAGGGCGTACAGACGAAGTGGAATCAAGCCCAGGCAGTTATTTTCAGAAGGGTCTCCACAAAATCGACAAACTCAGCCCCGGAACAGATCTATTCCACAGAGAACATTTCCTCAAACACCTTCTCAAAACAATTTTAAAAATTCTTCTTTTATTCGTTCAAATTCTGAACCACCTAACTTGGATCATATTAAATGCAGGGCCTGTTCAGGATTTGGACATTATGCTAATGAATGTGCAAATACCTTGAGAAGGAGAGGAATGAGTTTGATTTGTGCTGTCAGTGATGAGGAGGAAGAACAACCTGAACAGACAGAGGAACAGCAATCCTCTAAACAAGCTCTTTCTGTCAGATATCTTACTGGAAGTTCCTCTGAAACAGAATCCCAAGGAGTCTCCCTGGATGCTGCAACACTTTCTGAAACATTTTCAGTTTGTGAGTTAAATACTGATCATTATACATGTTTAAACTCTATTTCTGTGAATGCAGCAGAATCCAGTAATGAAGCAGTCAGTGATGATGAAGAAATGTGTAAAAAGCTGATCAGAAACTTGGAGAAGAAGACTCAAGCTCTAGATGCAGCCAACAAGGAAAATTCATCCCTCAAAGAAACAATCACACATTAATTTGGAGGTTGGAATCACCAAGAAGGATCTTGAACTGGCAAAAGTGAAAGAAGAACTCAAAAGGCAACTCTAGCAATCAAGAGGATGAACACTGGCACAACTAAACTCGAAGAGAGTGTGTCAATGGAAAAGCACTACAAACATGAAGGACTAGGGTTCAAAAAACAAATGAAGCCAGTTAGGAAGAAAGAAATTGTCTTTGTAAAAGAAAAGGGTGCAAACAGAAAGGATTGCAGGAAGTCCACAATCATCACTCCATATTCCAGAATAAGAGGTTATGTTTGTCATTACTGTTTCTCACCAGGACACATTCGTCCATTTTGTGAAAAACCCAGCAGTGACAAAATGTTGTATAAAATAAGCCACAACACTTCAAGGAACACCTCAAAGAAAA